CCCGAGCTCGTCCTCCCTCTTCCTCATCATCACCGAATCAAGATATGCTGGAGCCCAAGCGGCTACGCTGGAGGAGGAAAAGGCTAGGGAGGGGCAGGAGCTGCAGAGGATGGAGGAGACAGATTTGGTGGTGAAAACTCGCGATCACCACGGTAGAGCCCTCGCCAATGGTCCGCACCAAGATCTGCGAGATCAGCGAGAGGGACCACCGGAACGCCTCGTTGACTGGCGCATCCGTCGAGCTGGACAACATAACGGCCGTGCACGCGTCCACAAACGGCGGGAACAGCCTTGCGGGGGAAAGGGTAGGGAAGGATAAGGGAGACAAGATGAGGCAAGGGGAGAGGAGGCAAGAAGAGAAGAGAAGAGGAGAGTAGAGACCGCAGAGGGAGAAGTGGAACCCGAACAGGCACGAAGAGGGATCGGAGGTGAGGGGGTGAGATCGAAGTGGAACGGAGAGCCCCCCTACAGGGAAATCGGTTTCGGTTTCGTGTTCGTGTGTGCCGTGCGTGCGGGCGAGGCGAAGCTGCGTGGGCGGGCGAGAAGGAAGTCTCCTCCGGCTGAGGCGCAGCCGGACCAATTGATTCCTTCCCGGGGGCCGGTGGCCCGCGGTGTCCCGCCGGTGTCCCGCCTCCGGCTGAGGCGCGGCCGGACCAAATGATTCCTTTCCGGGGGCCGGTAGCCCGCGGTGTCCCGCCGGTGTCCCGCCTGTGTCCTGTCGGTGTCCCGATGATGATGATGATGATGATGATGATGATGATGATGATGATGATGATGATGATGATGATGATGATGATGATGATGATGATGATGTCGATGATGTTGATGATGATGGTGGTGATGGTGGTGATGATGGTGTCACGATGATGGTGATGATGATGGTGATGTTGACGATGTTGACGATGATGATGGTGATGGTGGTGATGATGGTGGTGTCCCGATGATGATGGTGTTCATGGTGATGATGATGTTGCTGATGAGGATGTCCCGATGATGATGATGCTGATGATCATGTTGATGAGCTTGATGATGGTGGTGCTGATGAGATGATGATGAGATGATGATGATGGTGAAGATGATGATGGTCCCGATGATGATGATGATGATGATGATGATGATGATGATGATGATGATGATGATGATGATGATGATGATGATGATGATGATGATGAGGTTGATGGTGATGCTGTTGATGATGATGGTGATTATCATGATGGTGTCCCGATGATGATGATGGTGATGATGATGATGACGATGATGTCCCGATGATGATGTTGATGATGAGGATGATGAGGTAATGATGATGATTTTGATGATGGTGGCTCGATGATGGTGATGATGATGATGCTGATGTTGATGTTGATGATGATGGTGTCCCGATGATGATGATGGTGATGATGATGGTGACGATGATAATGGTGTCTCGATGATGATGATGTTGATGATGATGTTGCTGATGATGATGGTGTTCCGATGATGATGATGTTGATACTGTTGTTCATGATGATGATGGTGATGATGATGATATGATGATGGTGGTGTTCCGATGGGGATGATGATGGTGTCCCGATAATGATGATGATGTTGATGATGATCATGCTGACGATGATGGTGTCCCGATGATGATGCTGGTGATGATGATGATGTTGTTGATGATGATGGTGATGAGGTGATGATGATGATGATGGTGTCCCAATGATGATGATGTTGATGACGTTGATGACGATCAGGTTGATGATGATGATGATGATGACGTTGATTGTGAGATCGATTGTGATATCGATCGTGAGATCGATAGTGAGACCGACTGTGAGATCGATTGTGAGATCGATCGTGAGATCGATAGTTAGATCGATTGTGAGATCGATCGAATTAAATAGATCGGGTGAGATCGATTGTGAGATCGATCGAGTGAGATCGATAGAGTGAGACCGATAGTGATATCGATAGTGAGATCGATAGTGAGGCCGAACGAGTGAGACGTTGGTTCCTCCCCCCCCCGAACCTCCTTATCACCCGAAGGGTGGTCGTATAGGTACATGTAAATAGATGATAGATGTGTGGGGTCATGGGAGGATGGGGCAGGGCAGAGGGAGGGGGAGGGGAGATGGGAAACTCCTCCTCAATCCTTCGCCCTCCTCCTCCACCTCCTGTTCCTCCCCCTCCCCTTCAACCCTTCACCCCCCCACCCTTCCACTCCCTCTCCTCCTCTTACCATCCTCTGACCCTTCTGGCGTGAATCCCTTCTCCTCCGTCTCTTTCTCTTGCTCGTCTCCCTCCTTCCTCCTTGTCTCCCCCTCCTCTAAACGACAGAATATCAAGCAATAGTTGGTAAGTTGAAAGAGCAACTACGTGTACAGACGGTGCTCAGACGAGAGCGTGCGAAACGCTGTGCTTCGTCTCTCCGTCATGTATTATGTGGCCACGGGGTGAAACCAGATGCTGAGAAGGAGAGCGCACAATGATTGCCCCCATGAGGCTTCACCAGAAGTATTCTCTAGGGCTCCCAACTTCGCGCTTCGCGCTGCGCGAAGCGCGAATAACTTCGCGCTCTCGCGCCGCCCCCCCAAAGGGAGAAGAGGAGGACGAGGAGGAGGGGGAGAAGGAACGAGGACCGCGAAGCGCGAATAACTTCGCGCCCTCGAGGGAGCCCTTGTTTTGACGCCCCCAAGAGGAACCCCCCCAGCAGCTCGAGGATGCCACCAGGAGGCCCAAACCGGACCCCCACAGAGACCGCTAGAGACCCCGAGAGGCCCCCCCAAACACGCCATATCCACCTCCGATGGGCTTCCGAGAGGCCTCCCAAGAGATCCCCACAGGCGTCCAAGAGGCCTCTGTCCTGCAACCAGGGAACGGTGGCGGGATGGGCCGAAGGAAACCAGATCCGCCGCCCCTGTCGATTCATCGCAGGGGTGCCTGGCGTGCTGGACCTCTCGGCTTTGGTTTTGGTTCTTTTCCCAAAAGAACTCCCCCTGGCGCTTCGGCCCGTCCCGCCGGGGTCCCGGGAGGCCCTTCCAGGAGCACAAACTCCGGAAACAATCCTCCCTGAAACGGCCGTTTCGCTCGGGACATCCTCAACAAATCGCGAAGATGGCCCAAGATGGCCTCCAAGTCCGCCCAAGATGGTCCAAGACGGCCTCCAAGACGGCCCAAAAGAGTCCAAGACGGCCTCCAAGACGGCCCAAGAGAGTCCAATACGGCCCAAGACGGCCCAAGAGGCCCCACAGAGGCCTCCCAGACGGCCCAAGAGGCCTCCAAGGGGTCCTCCAGGAGGGCCCGAAGAGGCTGAAATCATTGATTTGGAATTTGCTTCTTCTCGGCATTCCGACTGCTCAAGACGGCCCAAGAGGCACCCAAGATCGCCCAAGAGGCCCCCAAGAGGGCCCCAGGACGGCCCAAGTGGCCTCCACGACGGCCCCAAGAGGGCCCAAGAGACCTCCTAGACGTCCTTCAAGAAGGCCTGAAAGGGCCAGAACGTCCTCCAAGAAGACCTTCAAGATGCCCACGTGTTCCCCGAAGGCTTTCCAAACTGATTCGGGGAACACATGGTCCGATAGCTTGGCAGGTCTGGCCTCAAGGTTCGGCCACATAGGCGCTTCCACAAAGGCAGGGGGCGGCGGTGATTCGCCGTAGGCGTCTTCGATAGCCTAAACCTTCTGTTGCACGAGGTCCGGTGGCGCTCGTGCGCTCTCTCGTCAAGTCCCTGTGGGGTCCCTGGAGGTCCTCCGTGGTCAATTCACCCTCCCGCCGTGTCCCTGTGGGCTCCCCATGGTGGTTTGCTCCGCTTCGTTTCGCAATGGTTTGCACGGCATCGCATTGCAGCGCGCTGCATCTGCATTGCCTTGCAATGCATTGTGGTGTTGCGCATTGGTTCACATTGCTCATGCGCTGATTCACAATTCTTCGCATGGCGATGCATTGATTTGTATGGCGTGCAATTTTAACAAAAGCAACAACACCAATCATTTCATGACTGTTCGCTCCTATCTGCTCACGTGCCAATCAACACGTATATCCGAAACCCTCGGTGCCCGCCGTCGTCGTATTAGACCGTACCCCCTTGGGGGTATATCTTCCTTACCTGCCACGTGCATTTAGTGCAGCCCCTAAAACAAGGGAAGAGCAGACGCGTGGAAGGGGGAGGGAGAAGAGTGGGGCACGAGAGAAATTAGCAGGAGGGGGGCAAGGAGCAGAAAACAGTGGTAGAACCAGACGGGCAGATCGGGTGGGCAGACCCATAGCGGGCAGGTCGGGAAGGCGGGTCCAGGCGACCAAATCGAGCAGGCGGGTTGCTGAACCGTGGGTCCTGCGTGAATCGCGAGGAAGTCTCGAGCGATAGCGCGATTCCCAAGTAAATCGTGAGAGAAGCCAAAGTTAGAGCGTGATTCCTGAGCGCCGAGGGCACATCGTCTGAATGAACTGCGAGGAAGTCCCACGCGAGAGCGCGATGTGTTCATGCATAGTGAAAAAAATCCCGCGCGAGAGCGCGATTTGGGAATACATTGTGAAGAAGTATCAGGCGGGAGCCGTTGTTGTTGTAGACCGGGGGCCCGGGGCCCAGTTTGAGCCTAGTGACTTCCCCTGATGAAAAACAGTGTGCGAGCCTCGGGGGAAGCACTTCAATTAGATTCCTTAATCAAGATTCCTGATTAAGAACTCTTTATGAAGGATTCCTGAATCAGGATTTCTCAATCAGTATTCCCTAATGAGGATTCCAAAGGAAGAAACGGGCAGAGAGACGCAAAGTCTTGCTCCGCGCTGCTCTGCTTCGTTCTGGGGAGGCAGAAATATACCGATACCGCTACTCCCCAGACCTCTCCCGGGGTGCGGTCTGACCAGAATTTCGAAGCGAATCCAGCGGAGGCTCAAAAAGGCGAAAACGAGGGAAGGGTGGCGGTGTGGGTACCTTTTCATCCTCTGACGTGCTGCGCTGTCTCGCGCTCCTTTGAACTGCGCTGGTTTCCGAGTGCGCCGCCCAGCTTTCTTGTAATTTTTCTCCAGATGCAGTCGAGGCCTGTCTACGAGAAACCTTCCTCAAGAAACCCAACCCTGAGACCCCAGGACGTCCATTGTTTTTTGGCGTGGGAACGTCACGCTGTCCATAGAAAAACTATCGAAAACCAAGAATCCCAGGGCACCCTGGAGGCAAGCAGGATGCTTCTTGGCATGGGTCCCCACTGTAGGCTTCGACCAACGGGTTCTTCCCCCTGCCCGTGCCCGAGGCCTGGCTGCGACCCTACATCAGGTCTGGCCATGTCTCGGGGGGGGAGGGTCCCTCGGGGTTCCCTCGAGATTTTCGGGAGTTCCCCAAGGTTCGTCGGGGGGGCCCTCGGGGTTCCCTCGAGATCTTCGGGGTTCCCTCGAGATCTGCGGGGGGGTTCCTCGAGATCTTCGGGGTTTCTGGGGGGCCCTCGGGCTCCATGAGGCCCGCTGGGGCTCCCTCGTCTCCGTTGCGCTGCTCGGTTCTGCGTCGCTGAGGAGTGCGTTGTGCCCCTGTTTGCGTGGCTCTTCCGTACCACGGGCCGCCCTGCTATGGTTGCACTTCGGTGTTGCTATGATGTGAAATGCTCTGCTAGGTTATGCAGTGGTTGCAGGAACTATCATGTACATGCTATGTTTCGCCCTGGTATGATGTGCAACGCTGCAAATGTCACGCTGCGCGATAAGTTGTTGTACATTGCTATGGCATGATGTACAAATTCATGCAATGCTGTGCTGTAGAATGCTGGCCATGCGATGCGCCGTTAGGCACTGCTACCCGTCGGTCGGAAAAAACTACGTAGTTGGAAGTAGATTGGGTTTCCGCCCGCCCCTGAAGAGGAATAAAGAGGGAAAACCGATCGACTCTTGAACTAGGAAGGCGCCTTAAGTTGACTGGGATATGGGAGTCAAAGAAATCCTACTTCGACCAGCGTGTATGCAATCTTGTGCAATGAGAGTTCATCATTTGTTAATCTGTGTATTGGTACGAGTCGCAACGCTACGCCAGGATGTGCAAAATCAAACTATGCATTTACGGCAATCCAAAAGAACAATCGAACAGGGTGAACGCTACGATGGCCAAGACAACGGAAACCGAGAAGGGACAGAACGGTCAAAGGAACGGCGCCTAAGTCATTAGCAGAGTAGTCGTACCTTTTTGAGTGCCCGCTGTGAGTCTCGACGGCGGCATCCAGTAAGACCACCAGGCGCCTCAGACAAAGTCAGACCAGAAAATCCGCCGACACCCGCTTGCCCTGGGTGAAGAGGCGTGGGAGCCACTCGGGTGGCTGTCCCCCCCCCCCCCCCTGGTGGGTGCCCCCGCTACCAAGGTACACCATTCAGATACGGGGGGGGGGGAAGGGGGGGGGGGAACAGGGCTCCTCCACGCACTCCCACGGCCCTCAGAGCCTCCAAATGCACACCCAGACGCTTCCAAAATGCTCGAGATGCCCCCCAAAATGCCCCGAAGAGTTCCGGCACGCCCAGGAAGCCTCAAAAGAGAATTCAAGATGCCCAAAGAAACCGGAAGAATGCCCAAAGAGGTGCGAGAAGGGAGCCCAGACATACCAAACCACGCACAGCAGACACATACTTTCACTCGCTGGTGTTATCTCGCCTGGTCGCTTCCAGACGCCTCCGATGAAGTCCAGACGGCCTCCAAAAGGCCCCCAGACAGCCCACGGTACCCCCAAGGTGGCCTAAACTTGCCTCTGTGGCTCCTTGCTGGCCTCCGACACGGGCCGAGATCGCCCCCAGACGGTGCTAATACCCTCCAAACCCACACCAAGACCCCCGAAGGAACACCAAAAATGGCCTCAGAAAGCGACGAGATCTCCAAGAGAGCCCCAGAAAGCCGCACAAAAAACCCTGAACGGCCCCCTGCCAGAACCCCGACACTCACCCAGTGGACCCAGTGTGAGTGTTGCGTGCTAGTTCCGCCCCAGGGGTCAGCCAGACTCACACCCAATTCGAAATGCACCTGCTCGTTCCTGCTCGTCCGCTTCATGCTCTTTCTCCTCGTAGCCCACTTTTTTGGGGTCACCAGAACGGCGACAGCCTCTTGAGTACCAGACCGAGACGCGTTGCTAGTAGCCAACCAAAGTCTACCAGACCGCAAAGGAGCAGACGCGACTAGACCAGACAACGCCCAAACAGACAAGACCAGACAAGATGTCTATGAAGAGTGTGCGGAAACATTTTTGCCTGCAGAAGATGAAGCAAGGGGGAGGAGGAGGAGGAGGAGGAGGAAGAGGAGGAGGAGGAAGGGGAAGTGCTCTAATAGCGCAGGTGGGGCATGACCCACCGTGTCCACCTTCGGCATGAACATGTCGCCTTTCGCCTGCTTGCTGGATCTTGCTGGAGGGAAAGGATGTGTGCTTTCGGACCAAGCTCGACAAAGAGCCAAAGTCACTGGATGAGCTGGTGGGGACTCGCGAACCGTGCCAAACCATGCCCTTCATTTGAGCCATGGTGCGCTGCGGATCCCCCCACCCCGCAGCGTGGACGCATCCTCCTCCTTGTCCTCGTCGTCGTCGTCCTCCTCCTCCTTCTCCTCCTAATCATCCTCCTCATCATCATCAACATCATCACCACCACCATCAACATCATCATCCTCATCATCAGCAGCATCAGCATCAGCATCGCCATCGTCGTCATCACCATCGTCATCACCACCATCACGATCATCATCACAACCATGATCATGATCATGATCATCATCATCATCATCATCATCATCATCATCATCATCATCGTCATCATCAACAGCATCATCATCATCATCATCATCAGCATCACCACCATCATCATCATCATCATCGTCATCAGCATCATCATCAACACCAGCATCACCCGCATCATCATCGTCAGCACCATTATCATCAGCAGCATCGTCATCATCAGCAACATCGTCATCATCACTATCATCATCAGCATCATCATCGTCATCAGCATCATCGTCATCATCACCATCATCATCGTCACCGCCACCACCACCACCATCATCATCATCATCATCACCACCATCATCGTCATTACCACCACCATCGTGATCATCATCGCCACCACCACCATCATCATCAACAGCATCGCCAGCATCATCATTCCCATCATCACCAGTATCATAGCCATCACTATAACCATCACCATCATGATTACAATCAATATCATCATCATCATCATCCTTATTGTCATCACCAGCACCACTAGCATCACCATCATCAACATCATCATCATCATCATGTTCAGTAGCAACATCATCATTATCACCATCGCCAGCATCATCATCATCATCGCCATCAACAACATATCCATTACCATTACCATCATCTCTATCCTCCTCCTCCTCCTCCTCATCATCATCATCATCATCATCATCATCGTCGTCGTCGTCGTCATCATCACCATTCCTCTTTTCCTCGTCCTTCTCGCGCACCAGGCCGAATGTAATGTTGATGTTTGAGCCGCTTCTCCCTCACCCCTCTTATGGACAGTGAGCCTCCTCGTCCTTCTCCTCGTCCTTGGTGGTTCGTTGGATGATACAATCGCGTGATGGTCGATTGACTCGTTGCCGCTTGAGCGCGTGGATGAGGTTTGCGCACGCACATGGAACCAACTACATTACTCGCAGTGTCCGCTACATCATCCCATCCCTGTGGCTACAAGGCTCCTGGTGGACAGACCTTCCTGTAACCGCGTGCCGATCTTCCTCTGGCCCCAGTTCCCCCCCCGCGCCTCCCCCTTCCCCTCCCGCCCGTTTGCTCCCATGCGCCCCCGACGACGACGACGACCACCACCACCACAACCACCACCACACCCCCACTCCGCGAAGCCTCGTCGGGATGCCGAAGCCGACGTGCCGCAGGCCCAGCGCGGAGATCTCCGAGAGCACGGCCTTGGGTTGCAAGAAAATCTCCACCGTCATCTGGAGGATCCGATCCTGGGAGGACACAGAACCCAGAGATCCGACGCTCCAACAAACATTGGCGCGGGCGGTTTTGGGCGGTTCTGCCTCTGGGAGCCCTCGCCAGGCCTCGGGACCGTCAAAAAACGCCTCACGACGAAACCCGTCCTGGGGAAGTGGTCCGGACCTCCAGGGCCCACGTATCGAAAAAAATTGAGCAGCCGGATGACTGGGAATGCATAAGCATAAACTTGAGGGGGTCCGCGACGATGTCTTGGGTCCGCGCTGGACACCCCCCTTGGAAGCGCCGCTGGCGGCCTAATTACCACGAAATGTTCTCATAACAATAATAGGCATCGAGAAGGGGACCGACTACATAATTCATTTCCCACAAGTGAACTCTCTGTCGAACGTGCGAAAAAAATACATATCATGCTCCGTAGATCTACGGAACTTTCTGCGCAGTCTTCTCATATAATCGACGGGGAATTCAACTTTGGGGTAAATCAATTATGTAGTCGGTCCCCTATTCGAATATTGTTCTAAGAGCAAGGACACTGTTCTCAGAAAAGAAAGCCAATGTGTTAAAACAAGACGGTCTCAGCCAGAAAGGTTCTAAGAATATTTCATGTCAACAATGAAGGGTTCTTAGAACATCCTAGCTGCCACGATCCACAACACGCAAAACGCAGCGTGTTTACACGCAGCTCGGCACGAAGCCCGAAAACATAGCTCTGACGCGATACGCTCGCCCAAGCGTGGGCCAATACGCTGAGCCAACACGCAAAATGTCGACACGAACGTTTTAAGCATGGTACGTGTTGGGTTTCAGCATAGCGGCTCCGGCCGCGTAAGCGCCATCCCTCCTTTGCCCTGGCCCGCGGCCGCCCCCCCCTCCTTTTTCTCGCTCCTGCCGCAAGACAGCTGGCGATGCCGTTGCCCGGCTTGCACGAACGCGCGTGCGGACAGCCTCTGCCGCGCTGCGACGCAATAGTTGCGCTTCAAGACGGGCGTGCCGAGGCAGCTAAGCTTGGCGGCGCGCAGAGGGGGGCAGGGGGAGGGGGGCAGGCTTCTTGGAAGCACCCCTGCTTCTCAGAAGGTGCGGGCCTCTTTTCC